AAAACAGAAAAAAAAGAAAAATATATGATAATAAAAAAAAAAAAAAGAAACAAAATGAAAAAAAAAACATATAATAAATAATAAAAAAAAATAAAAAAAAAAAGAAAAAAAAAAAAAGATAATAAAGAATAATAAAAAAGAAAAAAATGAAAAGAAAAAATAGAAAAAAAGAATAAGGAAAAGAAAAAAGAAAATAATGAAAAAAGAAACAAAAGGATAAAAAAAAAAAAATAAAAGAAAATAAAAATGAAAAAAAAAAAAATGATAATAAAGAATAATAAAAAGAAACAGAATGAAAAAAGAAAAAACATATGATAATAAAGAATAATAAAAAAGAAAAAGAAAACAATGAAATAAAAAATAAAAGGAAACAGAAAAAAGAAAAACAAATAAAAAAAAAAAAGAAAAGAAAAAAAAAATATGAAAAAAAAAAAAAGGAAACAGAAAAAAAAAAGAATATAATAAAAATAATAAAAAAACAGAATGAAAAAAGAAAAAAAACATAATAAAGAATAATAAAAAAAAGAAAAAGAATAATAAAGAATAAAAAGAAAACAGAATAAAAAAAAAGAAAAAATATGATAATAAAGAATAAAAAAAAGGAAACAGAATGAAAAAAAAAAAAAAATGATAATAAAAGAATAAAAAAAGGAAAAGAAAAAAGAAAAACATATGATAATAAAGAATAAAAAAGGAAACAGAATGAAAAAGAAAAAAATATGATAATAAAGAATAAAAAAAAAGGAAACAGAATGAAAAAAAAAAACATATGATAATAAAGAATAAAAAAAAGAAAAAAAGAATGAAAAAGAAAAAATATGATAATAAAGAATAATAAAAAAGAAACAGAATGAAAAATAAAAAAGAATATGATAATAAATAAAAAAAAAAAAAAAAAAAAAGAAAAAAATGAAAAAAAGAATAGGAAAAGAAGAAAAAAATGAAAATAAAAAAAAAGAATGAAAAAAAAAAATAAAAAGAAAATAAAAGAAAACAGAATGAAAAAAAAAAAATATGATAATAAAGAATAATAAAAAGAAACAGAATGAAAAAAAAAAACATATGATAATAAAGAATAAAAAAAAAGGAAACAGAAAAAAAAAAAAATATATGATAATAAAGAATAATAAAAAGAAACAAAATGAAAAAGAAAAAATATATGATAATAAAGAATATAAAAAGGGAAACAGAATGAAAAAAAAACATGATAATAAAGAATAAAAAGGAAACAGAATGAAAAGAAAAAACATAAGAATAAAAAAAATAAAAGGAAACAGAATGAAAAAGAAAACATATGATAATAAAAGAATAAAAAAGAAAAACAGAAAAGAAAAAGAAAAAAAAATGAAACAGAAAAAAAAAATAATGATAAAAAAGAAAAAGGAAACAGAAAAAAGAAAAAAAAATAAAAATAAAAAAAAAAAAAAACATAGATAATAAAATAATAAAAAAGAAACAAAATGAAAAAAAGAAAAATATGAATAATAAAGAACAGAATAAAAAAGAAAAAAAGGAAAAAAGAATAAAAAAAAAAAACATATGATAATAAAGAATAAAAAAAAGGAAACAGAATGAAAAAGAAAAAACATATGATAATAAAGAATAATAAAAAGGAAAAAAATGAAAAAAAAAAAAATATGATAATAAAAAATAATAAAAAAAAACAGAATGAAAAAAAAAAATATATGATAATAAAGAATAATAAAAGGAAACAGAATGAAAAGAAAAACATATGATAATAAAGAATAATAAAAAAGAAAAGAATGAAAAAGAAAAAAACATATGATAATAAAGAATAAAAAAGGAAACAGAAAAAAAGAAAAAATATGATAATAAAGAATAATAAAAAGAAACAAATGAAAAAAAATATGATAAGGAAAAGAATAATAAAAAAGATAATAAAAACAAAATGAAAAAAGAAAAAAATGATAATAAAGAATAATAAAAAGAAACAGAATAAAAAAAAAAAACAGAATAATAAAAAAGAAAATGAAAAAAAAAAAAACAAATGAAAATAAAACAAAAGAAAATAAAAATAAAAAAAAAAAGAAAAAAAAAAAAAAAACATATGATAATAAAGAATAACAAAAGGAAAAGAATGAAAAAGAAAAAAAAAATAATAAAATAAAAAAAGAAAAAAAAGAAAAAAATGATAAAAAGAAAAAAAAAAAAAAGAAAAAAAGAATAATAAAAAGGAAAAACAGAAAAAAAGAAAAACATATGATAATAAAGAATAATAAAAGGAAACAGAATGAAAAAGAAAAAATATATAATAAAGAATAATAAAAAGAAAGAAGAATAAAAAAAAAACATATGAAAAAAAAAAGAAAAAAATGAAAAAGAATAATAAAAAGAATAATAAAAAAGGAAACAGAATGAAAAAAAAAAAACATATGATAATAAAGAATAATAAAAGAAAGAATGAAAAAAAAAACATATGATAATAAAGAATAAAAAAAGGAAAAAAATAATAAAAAATGAAAAGAAAAAAAAACAAAGAATAAAAAAAAAAAAAAAAATAAAAAAAAACAAAAAGGAAAAAATGAAAAGAAAAACATATGATAATAAAAAATAAAAAAAGGAAACAGAATGAAAAAGAAAAATAAAAAGATAATAAACAGAATGAAAAAAGAAAAAAATGAAAAAAGAATAATAAAAAAAAACAGAATGAAAAGAAAAAAGAATAATAAAAAGAAAAATAAAAAGGAAACAGAATGAAAAAAAAAAATAAAACAAAGAATAATGAAAAAGATAATAAAAGAATAATAAAAAGGAAAACAGAATGAAAAGAAAAAATATATGATAATAATAAAAAAAGAAACAGAAAAAAAGAAAAAGAATGAAAAAGGAAAAAATGAAAAAATGATAATAAAAAGAATAAAAAAAGAAACAGAATGAAAAAAAAAAAAATAATAAAGAATAAAAAAGAAACAGAAAAAAGAATAGATAATAAAGAAAAAAAAAAAAAAAAAAATAAAAGAAAAAAAAAAATAAAAAAAAGGAAAAATAAAAATGAAAAAAAAAAAACATATGATAATAAAGAAGAAAAGAAAACAGAAAAAAGAAAACAGAATAAAAAGAATAAAAAAAAGGAAAGATAAAAAAAGAATAAAAAAGGAAACAGAATGAAAAAGAAAAAAAAGGAAATGAATAAAAAGAAATAATAAAAAAGAAAAAACAAAATGATAAAAAGAAAAAAAAGAAAACAGATAAAAAAGAAAAATAATGATAATAAAGAAATGAAAAAAAAAATGAAAAAGAAAAAAATAAGATAATGAAAAAAACAGAAAAAAAAAAGAATGATAATAAAAGAATAATAAAAAGGAAACAGAATGAAAAAAAAAAATATGATGATAATAAAAAGAAAATAATGAAAAAGGAAACAGAATGAAAAAAGAAAAAAAAAAAAAGAAACAAATAAAAGAAAAACATATGATAATAAAGAAAATAAAAAGGAATAAGAATGAAAAAAAGGAAAAAGAATGAAAAATAAAAGAAAAGAATGAATAAAAAGAAAAAATAAAAGGAAATAAGAAAAAAAAAATATGATAATAAAGAATAATAAAAAGGAAACAGAATGAAAAAGAAAAACATATGATAATAAAGAATAATAAAAAGGAAACAGAATGATAAAGAAAAACATATGATAATAAAGAATAATAAAAAGAAAACAGAATGAAAATGACAAACATATGATAATAAAGAATAATAAAAAGGAAACAGAATGAAAAAGAAAAACATATGATAATAAACAATAAAAAAATGAAACAGAATGAAAAAGAAAAAACATATGATAATAAAGAATAATAAAAAGGAAACAGAATGATATGATAAAAAGAATAACAAAAGGAAACAGAATGAAAAAAAAAAATATATGATAATAAAAGAATAAAAAAAGGAAACAGAATGAAAAAAAAAAACATATGATAATAAAGAATAATAAAAGGAAAAAAAAAAAACAGAATAAAAAAAAAAAAAAAAAAATGATAATAAAGAAAAAAAAAAGGAAAAATAAAAGAATGAAAAAAAGAAAAAAAAATATGATAATGATAATAAAAGAATGAAAATAAAAGAAAAAACAGAATGAAAAAGAAAACAAATGAAAATAAAGAATAAAAGAAAGGAAACAGAAACAAAAAAAAAAAAACATATGATAATAAAGAATAAAAAAGAAACAGAATAAAAGAAAAAACAATGATAATAAAGAATAATAAAAAAAGAAACAGAATGAATATGATAATAAAGAATAATAAAAAAGGAAAAGAATGAAAAAAAAAAACATATGATAATAAAGAATAATAAAAGAAAACAGAAAAAAAAAAAAAACATATGATAATAAAGAATAATAAAAAGGAAACAGAATGAAAAAGAAAAACATATGATAATAAAGAATAATAAAAAGGAAACAGAATGAAAAAGAAAAACATATGATAATAAAGAATAATAAAAAGGAAACAGAATGAAAAAAGAAAAAATATGATAATAAAGAATAATAAAAGGAAAAGGAAACAGAATGAAAAGGAAAAACAGAATGAAAAAGAAAAAACATATGATAATAAAGAATAATAAAAGGAAACAGAATGAAAAAAGAAAAAATTGAATGAAATAAAAAAGAAAAAAATGAAAAGAAAAAAAAAATAAAAGCAAAAAAACACAATGATGATAAAAAAAATAAAAAAGGAAACAAAGAAAAGAAAAAAAGAATAAAGAAAATGAAAGATAAAAAGAAAAAAAAATGAATGAAAATAAAAAAAAGAAACAGGAATGAAGGAGAAAAGGAAACAGACTGAAAAAAAGCAATAAATGATGAAAAAAAATGAATGAAAAGGAAAAATAAAAAAGAATGAATGAAAAAAGAGCATATGAAAAAAGAATTTAAAAAATCAATGTAAAGAATAATAAAAGGAAACAGAATAAAAAAAAAAAACATTTATAAAGCATAAAAGAAACAGAATAACTGTTCAGTTTTTGAATAATAAAAGAAAATTGTTAAAAAGTTATTAATCTCTACTACTAAAAAGATTCTGAATGAAAACTATGATCTGATAATAAAAAAGAAACCCGGAAAAGCCATGAATAATGAACAGAATGAAAAGAAAAAAAGTTTTGAATAATAAAAGATAGACGAAAAGAAACAAAAGGAAAAGAAGAAAAGAAAAAATTTTAAAAAGCATAAAAAGGAAAGAAAATGAAAAAAAGAAGTTTATAATGAAGAAAAGAAAAAGCCAAAAAGAAGAAAAAGATGAAAGCACAAAAAAGGAAATGAAAAACGAAAAGGGGTGTTGAAAAAAAAAAGAAAGAATGACGAAATTGAATAGAAGAAGAAAAGAATGAAAAGAAAAAATGATTTTCAACTACAAAGTGAAACGTCATCCATTGATGGATAAAAAATAAAATGGAAACAGAATGAAAAAGAAATATATATATATAAATAGAATCAGAATGGAAAAAGAAAAAAATGAATAAGTTTTAAACTTTTTTTCCCACAATTATTAAAAGGAAATTATTGAAAAAAAAAGTTATTTAAAGAATAATAATTTTCTCAAAAAGAATTTTTCAGAATTTTTTGAAAAAACTTTTGATTTAAAAGAATAATTAAAAGAAAAACAGAATAAAAATATTTTTAAAAATTTAAAGGAATTAGGGTTAAAAAAGAAAAAAAAATGATAAAAATAAGAACAAAAAAGAAAACAGAATGAAAAAGAAGAAATGAGGTAAAGAAGAATATAAAAAGGAAACAGAATGAAAAAGGCAGAAAGGGAAAAAAAAGAAAAGAATAAAAAAAGAAAAATAATGATAATAAAGAGACGAATCGAATGAAAAAAGAAAATAAGTAGACACAATAAACGGAAAAGAGAAAATGAATATTGATAAAAGGAAATAAATGGCGAAAAAGGTGTCAATAAAATGACAGGAAAAGAATGAAAAAAAAACAAAGGGGAAAGAAAAAAAAGAATCAGATGTGATAATTTTGATAAACGGCAGAATGAAAAGTTATCTATAAAGAATACAAAAAACAGACAGAATGGTCGATAATGACAAAGAAAAAATGAAAAAAGAAAAAAAAAATGATTAAAGAATAATAAAAGGAAAACAGAAGGACGAAAAAACAGGGACTTTACAAAAGATATGGAATAAAAAAGAAAAACATACGAAGAAACCACACTGAAAAAAAGAAAAAATTTTAATGCCGAAAAAAGAACATCTTTAAAAGGAAACAGAATGCGATAAAAAAATTATGATAATAAAGAAATTTAAAAAAGAAAAGAAATAAAAAATAAAAGACATATGATTAATAAATTAACAAAGGAAAAAAAAGAAACAGAATGAAAAAGAAAAAGGCTTTGGGTAAAGAATACAAAAGGAAAAAAATTAATCGCGAAACACATATGATAATAAAGAACAAAAAAGGATTTTCTTTGAAAAGAAAATCTTTGGCCTGCGATAATAAAAAAAATTATGTAATAAAGAAAATAAAATGTAATGAAAAAGAAAAAAATGAATGAGAAAGGGATCCAGAAATGTTTTTTTAAAGAATTCTTCGAGGAAACAGAATGAAAAAGAAAACTTTTGATAACAAAATGAAATTAATTTTTTGAGGCTGAATTAAAAAGAAACAGAATGAAAAAAAAAATTATGATAATAAAGAATAACAAAAAATATAATGAACAAAAAAAACGTATGAATAAAGAATAAAAAAAGGAACCAGAATGAAAAAAGAAAAAATTGTCATATGATAATAAAGAATAATAAAAAGGGAAATGAAAAGAAAAAAGCGATTAAGAGGAAGAAAAAGGAAAAGAAAAAGAAAATATTTTTTTAATAAAGAATACAAAAAGGAAAGAGAATGAAAAGAAAAAACAAAACAAAGAATAAAAGGACAATGAAAAAAGCCATATGACAAAAAAGAAACATAAAATGGTCAAGTGGTGAAAAGAAATGACGCACGAAGGAGGAAAAAGAATAAAAAAAGAAACAGAAAAAATTTTTTAATAAAAGGTTAAAAGAAAAATTTTTTTTTAATTCCTGAAACAGAATGAAAAGAAAAACATATGATAATAAAAGAATTAAAAAGGAAATCAATGTGATAATAAAAATAATAAAAAGGCAGGGATCATATGAAACTTTTTTGTTTTGATTTTTGTTTTGAAAAACATTTTGTTTAACCAAAAGGAAACAGAATGAAAAGAAAATGCCAAAAGAATGAAGAAATGAAAAGACCTTAGGTCTCTAATAAAAGGAAAAACAGAATGAAAAAGAAAAATATGATAATAAAACAATAAAAAGGAAACAAATAAAAAAGAAAAATTAGATAATAAAGAATAAAAAGGAGGAAAAATGGGAAAAATATGATAATAAAAGTAACAAAAAGAAACAAATGAAAAGAAAAGTATGAAAAAAGAAGTAGTAGAATAAAAGAAAAATAAGATAATAGTAGGAAGCAGAAAAAAGTAGTAGTAGTAATAAAAGAAAAGAAAAAAAATGGAAAAGAGATAAAAAAAGAGAAATAAAAAAGAGAAAAAAATAATAAAGAAAACAAAGGAAAACAGAATAAAAAGAAATATTGATAATAAAAATATTAAAAAAAATTAATGGCATATGATAACAAAAAAAAAAAAAAAAAAGAAAAAAAAAAATAACAAACTAAAAGGAAACAGAATGAAAAGACAAAACATTGATAATAAAGAATAAAAAAGGAAAACAGAATGAAAAAGAAAAACAATTATATATAAGAGAATGAAAAATTTAGGATTTTAATGACAAAATCAAACATAAGTAATTCATATTTATTAATAATATGACTGTATTAGTCAAATATAAAAAAGTGTATATATTTAGTTTTTAATATTTTTTATGGTTGATAATCATATAGACGCCATATATATACAAGAAGGTAACTTTAGTTTTCAATGACAAAATCAAGGGCGGGTAACTTTTTTTTTTATTGTGAATAAAAAAAAACGGCACATATGTAAAAAAGTAATATTTCAGTAACAAAATCAAGTGAATTTAGCGCATTTTTATGGTTGATAATCATATAGACGCCCTATATATAGAAGAAGGTAAATTTAGCATTCAACTACAAAAGAAAGGGAAAAAGACTTTTTTTTTTTGTGAATAAAAAAAAAAACGCAAAAATATGGAATGAGAAGTTGAAAAAAAGATAGAATTTTCAGAAAAAAATCAAAGAAATAAACCGTCATTTTATGGTTGATAATATATATATAGACGACAAATATATACAAAATGTAATTATTTAGCATTTTCATTGACAAATGAAAGGGCAGGTAACTTTTTTATTTATGAATAATCTAAAAAATAAAAAAATAAGAAGGAGAAAGGTTGCAAGAAAAGGGTTAGTTTTCAGTAACAAAATCAAGAGAATGTAAACCTATTTATATGGATGTTAATAGACAAATAGACGCCATATATAAACAAGAAGGTAAGTTTAGATGTCAATGACAAAATCAAGGGGAGGTAACTCCTTTTTATTTTGAATAAACAAAAACGCCACATATGTACAAAAAATTAGTTTCAGTAACAAAATCAAGGCAATGTAACCCATGTTTGCCGTTATTGATAATCATATATACGCCAAATATATACAAGAAGGTAACTTTAGTTTTCAATGACAAAATAAAGGGCAGACAACTGCGATTTTTTATTGTGAATAAAAAAAACGCCAATACGTACCGAAAAGAAAATGAAGGATCTCAAATTAGTTTTCAATAACAAAATCAAGGCAATGTAACCCATTATTATGGTTGATAATCATATAGACGCCATATATGCATTGTCAAGAAGGTAACAGATTTTAGTTTTCAATGACAAAAAAGGAAAGAAGGGCAGATAATTTTTTTTTATTGATATTTTTTTTTTTAAAACAAAAACACAAAAATATGCCCGAAAAGTACATCATTTTCAGGGTAACACGTGAAAATCAAGGGAATTTAAAGATATTTTTTTTTTATGGCACACATTGAAAATCATAGACGTTTTTTTTTTGTTTAGTTTTGTTTTTCTTTGTTTTCAATGAGTGAAAAAGCAAGGGCAGCATTTCTCTGACCTTTTTTATTGTGGAAGGAAATAAAACAAAAACGCAAAATATGGAGTAGTTATAGTTAGGTTTTCAGAAATAAACCCAAGGGAAGTAACCTGTTTTTATGGTTGGTAATCATAGACGTTAAATATATAAAAAAAAAGTAACTTTAGCTTTCAATGAATAAAAAATCAAGGGCAGAGAAATTCTTTTTATTGTGACGAAAACAAAAACACAAAATATGGATAAGAATTAAAGTTGCAAAAAAAAAAAAAAAATAAAGGAAATGTAACTTATTTTTAATGGTTGAAAATCATATAGATTTATATATATACAAGAAGGTAATATTTAGTTTTCAATGAAAAAAATCAAGGGCAGATAACTTTTTTATTGTGAATAAAAACAAAAACGCAAAATATGGATACAAGAAGTTAAAGTGAATTTTCAGCAACAAAATCAAAAAAATAAACCCATTTTTATGGTTGATAATCATATAGACGCCATATATATACAAGAAGGTAACTTTAGTTTACAATGACAAAATCAAGGGCAGATAACTCATTTTATTATGAATAATCAAAAAAGGCAAAATATGGATGAGAAGTTAAAGTATAGTTTTCTTAAAAAAATCAAAAAATGTAACCTCATTTTTATGGTTGAAAATCATAGACGCCATATATACAAGAAAGTAATTTTAGTTTTCATTGACAAAATCAAGGCAGATAACTCTTTTTTATTGTGAATAAGCAAAAAGGCAAAATATGGATAAAGAAGTTAATAGTTAGTTTTCAATAATAAAACTCAAGGGAATGTAACCCAAGGGGAGGTTTTTTATGGTTGAAAAACAAAATATAGACGTTAAATATATACAAAAAGCAACTTTAGCTTTCAATGACAAAAAATCAAGGGCAGATAACTTTTGCCAGAATAAAAAAAAACGCAAAATATGGATAAGTTAAAGTGAGTTGCTTTCAGTAACAAAATCAAGGAATGTTCCTGCTTTTTATGGTTGATAATCATATAGACGCCATATATATACAAGAAGGTAACTTTAGTTTCAATGAAAAAATCAAGAGCAGATAACTTTTTATTGTGAATAAACAAAAACGCAAAATATGGATAAGAAGTTTAAGATAGTTTTCAATAACAAAATCAAGGAAATGCAAACCTATTTTTTATGGTTGATAATCATATAGACGCCCTATATGTACAAGAAGGTAACTTTAGTTTTCAATGACAAAATCAAGGGCAGACAACTTTTTTTTATTGTGAATAAACAAAAACGCAAAATATGTAAAGAAGCAGGTTAGTTTTCAGTAATAAAATCAAGGAAATTTAACCTAATTTTTTTTGATTGGAAACAAAAAAAATCATAGACGAAAAGAAATACCTATTTTATAGCCACATAAAAACAAGGGCAGATGACAAAATTTTTTATTAGGAATTTCAAAAAAAACAAAAACCAAGGAGTTTTAAGTAAAATTTAAAAAATCCTTTTTTTATGGTGAATAATCAAGACGCCAATACGTACAAGAAGCTGTCAAAACAAATACCAAAAGGCAAAATATGGATAAGAAGTTTTTTCAATAACAAACAAAAGGTAAAAGGTGAAATAAAAAGGAACCCATAACTCTTTTATTGGTTGATAATCATATAGATGCATATATATACAAGAAAGTAACTTTTAGTTTTCAATGAAAAAATCAAGGGCAGATAATTCTTTTTATTGTGAATAAACAAAAAACACAAAATATGGATAAGAAGTTAAAGTTAGTTTTCAACAAAATAAAGGAAATGTAAACCTATTTTTATGGTTGAAAAATAGACGCTATATATATACAAGAAGGCAACTTTAGTTTTCATTGACAAAATCAAGGGCAGATAACTTTTTTTATTTTGAATAAACAAAAAAACGCAAAATATGGATGAGAAGTTATAGTTAGTTTTCAGTAATAAAACCAAGGGAATGTAAACCTGTTTTTATGGTTGGTAATCATATAGACGTTAAATATATACAAGAAAAACTTTTAGTTTTCAATGACAAAACCAAGGGCAGAAACTTTTTATTGTGAATAAACAAAAAAAACGCAAAATATGTAGATAAGAAGGTAAAGTTATTTTTTCACAACAAAATCAAAAAATGTAACCCATTATTATGGTTGATAATCAAATAGATGCATATATATACAAGAAGGTAACTTTAGTTTCAATGACAAAATCATGGGCAGATAATTTTTTTTATTGTGAATAAAAAAAAAACACAAAATATGGATAAGAAGTTAAAGCGAGTTTTTCAATAACAAAACAAAGGAAATGTAACCTATTTTTATGGTTGAAAATCATATAGACGCCATATATATACAAGAAGGTAACTTTAGTTTTCATTGACAAAATCAAGGGCAGATAACTCTTTTTTATTGTGAATAAACAAAAAACGCAAAATATGGATAAGAAGTTAAAGTGAATTTTCAATAACAAAATCAAAAAAATGTAACCCATTTTTATGGTTGATAATCATATAGACGCCATATATATACAAGAAGGTAACTTTAGTTTACAATGACAAAATCAAGGGCAGATAACTCATTTTATTATGAATAATCAAAAAAGGCAAAATATGGATAAGAAGTTAAAGTTAGTTTTCAATAACAAAATCAAGGAAATGTAACCTACTTTTATGGTTGAAAATCATATAGACGCCATATATATACAAGAAAGTAACTTTAGTTTTCATTGACAAAATCAAGGGCAGATAACTCTTTTTTATTGTGAATAAGCAAAAAACGCAAAATATGGATAAGAAGTTATAGTTAGTTTTCAGTAATAAACTCAAGGGAATGTAACCCGTTTTTATGGTTGGTAATCATATAGACGTTAAATATATACAAAAAAGTAACTTTAGCTTTCAATGACAAAATCAAGGGCAGATAAATCTTTTTTATTGTGAATAAAAAAAAACGCAAAATATGGATAAGAAGTTAAAGTGAGTTTTCAATAACAAAATCAAGGAAATGTTCCCGTTTTTATGGTTGATAATCATATAGACGCCATATATATACAAGAAGGTGACTTTAGTTTTCAATGATAAAATCAAGAGCAGATAACTCTTTTTTATTGTGAATAAACAATAACGCAAAATATGGATAAGAAGTTTAAGATAGTTTTCAATAACAAAATCAAGGAAATGTAACCCATTTTTATGGTTGATAATCATATAGACGCCATATATATACAAGAAGGTAACTTTAGTTTTCAATCACAAAATCAAGGGCAGACAACTTTTTTATTGTGAATAACAAAAACGCAAAATATGTAGAAGTTATAGTTAGTTTCTCAGTAATAAAACTCAAGGGAATTTAACCCGTTTTTATGATTGGTAAACATATAGACGTTAAATATATAGAAAAACGTAACTTTAGCTTTCAATGACTAAACCAAGGGCAGGTAAATCCTTTTTATTGTGAATAATCAAAAAACGCCAATACGTACAAGAAGGTAAAGTTAGTTTTCAGTAACAAAATCAAGGCAATGTAACCCATTATTATGGTTGATAATCATA